TTGGAAAGTGAAGTGGCTGAGCTTGATGACGGACAAGGGGTTTTGGTAGATACAGATGTGAATATTGCTTTTTGGTATGACTTGGAAAGTGAAGTTGCTGATCTTGATGATAGACAACGCGTTTTGGTTGGTCCAAATAATGTAAAGATTACTTTTCCAAAAAAAAAAAAAAAATGCAGATGTGAATATATTAACTGCGAGTCTCGTTTTGCTTGAGGACAGAAGTGAAATTAATGGGAAGACGAAACAAATTGTTGAGGAAGATGAGAATTCTATGAATAACAAAAAGAGGTACTGGTACTGTATCTAGTTTTGCATGATCTGTTTATAATTTCTAATTTGTATTTGATCAACTTTGTATTTAATGGCTACTGCTAGTTATAAAATTTTAGCCTATGTCAATCTTTATGGTGAGATTTAAAAGTCATATATATACTTAGTAATTGAAATTTATCATTATGTGAACCTTACTACAGTATGATGCTCCAAAAATTTGATTGATTGCTCCTTTGTTCTTTAGTAGGAAAAATTCCTAGAAGGAACAAGAGGCAAGAAGTGAGGATACTTGAAGATTAGGTAAATAATGCTCTTGCTAAAGTTTGTTTCTTTGCATGTAAATACTTGTTTTGATATGATATTTCTTGTAATTCTATGTTTTCCGCTTTGATTGCATGCTAAGAAAATGCATGTGTTGACATCTATTTTGGTTATAAAGGATTTCGAGGTAAAAATTTGCTGCATTGGGTGCCCAATAATTGCATAAAATGTATGCCTCGTATTAAAGTTTCTGCTTTTGATCTAGTAAAGAAGAATATCATCTTGTGATGCTTTTGAAATGTTCCTAATGATTTCTGTATGAATTTGAGCTTTGGGAGGCATACCTTTTTTTTCTCCACTAGTGATAATGAAATTAGTATTCATTTTTGGGTTATCAAGTAGTATGGAATTAAGGATTCATAGACTCAATTATCTTCTCTGTGGCTCCTCGAAGTTGGGAAGTTTCACCATCAACAATATGTACCTTTTTTTTTGCACAGCAAAGTGATTTTTATTTCATGGAGTACAAGGGGTACCCCTGCCCTTGGTACAAAATACATATACTAGAAAACCAGCAACTCAACTTTCTGAACCTATCGGAACCTTTCAGCTGCAAGTAGAGGTTCAGAATAGGTTCAGTAGCGTATTAGTGTCCAGTAGAGCATTTTTGCACTTGAAAAGGCCGATTTGAGTCTTCCGTTTAGCTTTTAAGCTCAAAACCGGTTCCAACATCCATTCATACATATTAAAGGAGTATCCATTTGCTTTACCTTTGATCCAGTTGAAGGCTTTGAGTTGAACAATTTCAAATATTCTGTTGACTTCATACTCGAAGTTTCTGAAGATCTTTCCATTCCTTGCCATCCATATAGACCATATAAATGCGAACTAGGCCACATCCCACGCTGCTCTCACTAATGTTTCTTTAAAGGATGATTGGTGTTGCTCGAAAGTTTCTTGGCAGGTTTTAGGCATAACCATTGATGTCCTCCACCATTGCAAACATTTATACCACATCGAGCAAGCAACTCTGCAGTGAATAAACAGGTGATTGCTATCTTCTGTGCTTTCTCCACACAATCCACATAGCACTTGGTTAGGATCAGTTATGATGCCCCTTCTAAATAAGTTGATTTTTGTGGGGATTCTCTCTTGTAAGGCTTTAAAAGCGAATGCACTAACCTTTGTTGGGATTAAACTGCTCCAAATCCTTTTATGAATCCATGCCTTGTCATGTCCAATGTTGCTTGAGAGAAGATTGTATGTTGTTTTAACTACATACACACCTTCTTTATCATGCTTCCACTCCCAGCGATCTTTTTGGTCTTGTACAGGTTGTGAATTATCAAGTAAGGCCTGAAGCTCTGTAAATTTGTCTTTCTCCCAATCGTATAATGGTCTTCTCTACTGTATTGACCATTGCCATTTTCCTTCCCTCCAGTTGCCCATTTGGCAGATTCTTTTATCTTTACCTGTAGACACAAGGAACAATCTAGGGAATTGATTAGCAAGAGATTGGTCCCCAATCCACACATCCTTCCAGAATCTTGCAATATTCCCCTCCCCCATTTTTAATTTAAATCCTTCTTTAAGCCATCCCCTTTTATTGTGATCAATGTGGTCTATCTTGCAAATGTTTCTCCACCAAATGGATCCCCTATGTCTAGTCTCTTGTGCCCACTCTAACCAATGGCCGTCCACACTTCCATATTTTTCTTTAATGATCCTATATAAAAGACCTTTGTTTCCACTCGCTAGTCTATTCCACCACTTGCCCAACAAGGCGAGATTGAATCTTCTTAGCTCTTTAACTCCTAGCCCTTCCTCCATTTTACTTTTACAAACTTTGTCCCAAAAAACCCAACTAGTTTTTCTCTTCCCCTCCCCTCCCCCCCATAGGAAGTTCCTACGAATTTTATCGAGAGAAAGGATCAAACCTTTTGGAAGCAGGTGCACGAACATGGGGAACACTGGAAGATTGGACAGCACGGAGTTGAGGAGTGTGATCCTTCCACCAAGGGAGAGGAACCTGCCCTTCCATGAGCTCAATTTCTTCTTGAAAGTCTCGACCAAAGGTTTCCATACAGTAGTGTTTCTACAATTGCCTCTTATTGGTACTCCAAGGTACTTGCAGGGTAATGCTCCTTGTTTACAATTCAATATGTGAGCCATTTTTGTCTTCCAATCATCTGAAACATTTATGCCCATGAGCTGGTTTTTACCGAAGTTAATCTTCAATCCCGACACCAACTCGAAGGTTCTCATGATACTTTTTGATGCCCATATATTGTCTTCCTCTGCCTTGCCAAACAAGATCGTATCGTTTGCAAACTATAGATGAGACCATTTCATGTCATTATTGCCAACTCTGATCCCCTCGAAAAGTCCCCGGTTAACTGCTGAGGAGATGATGCCATTAAGTCCTTCAGCAACTAACAGAAATAGATAATGAGATAGTGGGTCCCCTTGTCTAAGGCCTTTGTTGATTTTAACTTGTCTGGTGATGCCGCCATTAATCAAAACAGATACCTCTGCTGTCTTCAAACACTCATCGATCCACCTTCTCCATTTCGGTTTAAAACCCATTCTTGACATCATGTACTACAAAAACTCCCAACATACATTGTCGTATGCCTTCTCAAAGTCTAGTTTAAATACAAAACTAGCTTTCTTTTTTCTCTTCGCTTCATCAATTATTTCATTGGCAATAACAATGTTGTCCGCCATTTGTCTTCCTCCAACAAACGCCATTTGGCTTTCTCCAATTATGTTGTCCACCACTAAACTAAGTCTATTAGCAAAAAGCTTTGCTATCACCTTGTACATAACCCCAATTAAGGAGATGGGTCTGAACTCCTCTATTTTTTGGGGATTAACAACCTTGGGAATCAACATGATGAATGAGCTATTTACTCCTCTTACCAGTTTTCCATGATTATGAAAATCTTCCACATAGCCCATCATGTCATCTTTAATTTCCTCCCACATTTCTCTTATGAATTTGAAGTTAAAACCATTGGGTCCTGGTGCTTTTGAGCATTCGCAACTCCACATCGCTCGCTTTACTTCTTCTTCGCTGAAAGGAGCTAGCAACATTGAGTTCTCATCCTCTGAGATCTTATTGAATGCAATCCCATCTAGGTGGGGGCGCTGCCACCTATCTTCTGTGAATACCTTCTCAAAATAATTGGCCACCTTTCCTTGATCTCATTAACCTGTTTCGAGACTTTATCTCCCACCTGTATGCTAACTATTTCATTCCTTCTCCTTCTTCCCTTAACACACCTATGGAAAATTTTGGTATTTGCATCCCCATCTTTAATCCATGTCTTCGTAGCTTTTTGGTAGCACATGCTCTCCTTTATTTTTTGGTATCTCCATAGTTGTAAAAAGCTATTCCTTCTTAGGTCCACCTCCTCAATAGATAACAAGGTTACTTCTGCCTTCAGATCAATAGCAGCAATAGAATCCTTGTATTTTTTTTATGTTAGAATCCACCTCTGGCATCATGTTCCTGCTCCAGACCTTCAAAGCATTCTTTGTATCCTTTAATTTTTCTTTCAGTCAATATCCATGCCACCCTGTGATCTTTGTCGACCTCCATATTTTACTCACTAGGTCCTTGAACTCTGCTATATCACTCCACACCTCAAAAAATCAAAAAGGTTTAGGGCCCCAATCGACTGTTTGATTTTTTAGCATGATTGGACAGTGATCCGACATTGTTCGCTTCATTCCCCATTGTTTGACATCCCCCCAATTGATACACCATTGTTCAGAAAGCAGGAACCTATCCAGTCTACTCATAACTATTCCATTTGGCTGATACCGTGTGAATTTACGGCCTATTAATGGTAAATCAATAAGGCCACAATCTCTAATGAATATGTCGAACTCCACCATTTCCCTCCTTCTAGTTCTTCCTCCATTCCATTCCTGCTCGTTTCTTATGGCATTGAAATCTCCCATCAAGCACCAGTTACCTCCCGTTCCCGTGATCAAATTCTTCAAGCTAGTCCACAGAGCCCTTTTACCTGGCATTTAGCATGAAGAATAGATATTCACAATATGTACCGGAATTGCTGAAACCCCCCAAAAGCTGAACACCCCCACAAAAGTCTCCCTTTCTATAATTTTTTCTTTCTTCAATACATCTTTATTCCATATACAAATTAAACCTCCAGATGCCCCTCTTGAAGGTTTTGCTACCCAATCAAAGTTATCTGAGCCCCATAGAGTCCTACATAATTGATTGTCCACCACCTCTGTCTTTGATTCTTGTATAGATAGAAATTCAACTTTCTTTTGTTAACTAATTCTTTTACTCCATACTTCTTACCCTTCCCTCCTAATCCTCTAATATTTACAGACAAGAAAATCATTTTAAATTAATACCATCAATCCCCTCAATAACATCATCACTAACCTTTGATTTCCTAAATAGCTTCTTGTCCCTATCCTCTATGTCCTTTAGTCGTCGAATCACTTCTTGTTCATTGCCACAGTCACCAGCTCCAATTTCCTTTACAAATGCCCAAATCCTCTCCACATTACAAGATTCCTGTGCTCTCTTCAGGTTCTCGTTCCTGTTTCCAATGCCATTATCGTTGACAGATTATCCTGCCACTTGGTTTTGGGATCCCATATGGAAATTCGGCATCCTTTCCTCCACTCTTCGCTTTTTTGATATTTTCGATCTTCCTTCTGCGTTGGTTCGTCATTCTTCCTTTCTTCCTTTCCTGTACACCAACACGCAGGATCTAATTTTCTTTTTCCTGAACTTGCTCAGCATTCTGTGTTTTTGACCCATCCACTCCTTTTCTAGACCTGATTCTATCATGAAGCCTTCCTAGAAAAAAGACTTCTTCAACGCCATTTGGGGATGGCTTGAGCAGGTGCTACCATTCTCTTTCTCGTGATCCTTCTGGAATGAGACTCCATCATCAGCATTTTTATTATTTTTTGGTTTAACCCCATTTTTTTCTAGCAAATCATCATCTTCCATTGGAGTTGGCCCACCATCTACCGTCCCATTATACTCTTGTTGGGTTATCCTTTTATCTTTTTTGGTCCAACATCCATCAAGTACTAATGGGTTTGGAAGTTTATATGGCCCAACATATTCACCCATTTGTTGTTGTTCCTTTTTTTCATTTAATTGTGATTCAGGCACAATCTCTAGATCTGCTGGCATCCTTTCATGATTATCGGAGCTTTGAATTTGATTTTTCCCATCCCCGCTATCTGCAAACTCTTCTTGGGAACATTCAGCATTAATTGAGATGTCATTCAGAGCCGAATTTTGGTCTTCTTTTCCAATTTGCCTCTTAATCTTCCAACAAGTATGTGCCAGCTCACCCCTTGTTTTCGTGTCCATCTCCAAGTCCTCTTCCTTTTCCACGTCATCTTCTTCCATCTTTACGTCAGGAAAGTTCCAGTACCCCTTAGACCCACCACCTTCTTGGATGGACTCATGTGTCTCATTGCCAAATTCACTATCTTGTGACCATGATTCTGAAACATCGTTGTTGGAGTCACTTAGCATTTTAAACACATGATCGGATTTCATTGAAAAAATGCCATTGGTGGCCTCTTCTACCATGATTTTAATTATGAACGGCTCCCCAGTAACCTTGACATTCATGACTTTTGAAATGAAGTCCATCACTGTAGTGGAGATCAATAATCTTCCAATATCCAACCTCCTCTTCATATTAGTGCTATCATCTAGAGTGATGAATTTTCCCCATACAGCACCAATTGTGGCAAAGAATTATGGCCCTCAAGCATGGGCTGGAACCCCTTAGCATCGTAACCAGACAAATTTTTCTCTGGAAACCATAGATGTCTTCCAAGGTTTAACCTCCGTAAACCACTGTCCCAGCCATTGTTGTGCAAGCTCAACCAGATCCTTTATCTCATCCTTGTCTCCTCCCTCCAATAAACCTAAGCTTCCTCCCATTGCTCTTACTTTACAGGAGAAATAGCTTTCCATAAAGAACTTTTCTTGTAAGGTCGGGATGATTTCAACTGAGTGAGCTACCCCAACGTAACATCCTTCCAGCCATGAAAAGTCCTCCTCCTTCACATTAAACTCCAAGCTATGCTTCACCTGCTCCTTGTCCTTCGGTACCCTTACCTGTGTTGGGACTTTTTTCCTGTCGCCTCTCTATTGTTGCTAACAATTTGTTTCCCAAGTTGCTTCTTGTTTGTCCCCCCGATTTGTACCATCTTCTCTAATTCCTTTCACAACATCGGCGAAGGTTCTTTGCCCTCTTACTTCTTCTTTTTTGCTAAGCCCATGGTCCATACACATGTGACTTTCATTTTCCTTAAATTTTGGTCTATTGATCCAAAGTTTGAATTCTCCTATTCGAATCTGGTCCAGTTGATGCTCCAACTCCCATTCATCTTTAACCTCTAGGAATCTGACGAATCCGAACCTGCTCCCCCTCTTTGTTTTCCTCGTTGGACTGTAGATGGCCAATACGCTTCCATATTTTCGGAAAGTTTGCCACATGTTTTCGTAGCTCCAATCATCAGGAAAATTAGTAAAGAAGAACACAGTGGCTTGGCTGTACACATGTCAATCGTATCCCCATATATCTTGATTCCTCCATCTGTTCCTGTGTGAAGCACCCGCCTCGTGTTCTTGCTCTTGTCGATTCCCTCTCCTGTGTTTGAATCTTTCCCAGTTCCATGTTGTCCTTCTTCCCCATGTTTCGAATCCGTCGACCCTCTCTCTTTCTCTCCCTCTCATTGTTGTTTGTTAATTTGGCCAATATCAACAATATGTACCTTGATTCCTCTTAGCATATTCAAAACGTCATGATAAAAATTTATTGAACAATCTTGGTGAATATGGAGATCCATTTTATTTTCTCATTCAAACTACAAAATATAAACCAATAAGTGATGTGGATAATACCTAATATCAAAGTACTTCACTTCATTTTTTTTTTTTTTTTTATCATCAGCAGGATTTAACTTCATTTAATAATTTAACTTATGTAATCAAGTGCAACCTAAACTATATAATACTTTTTTATATATTGAGAGAGTATATGGTGTTTCCTTTCTAAATGTTTTGTTTGTTAATAATAAGTTCTTCCTGAAGTTTGTTTCCTTTCTAAATGTTTGTTTGTAAAATACTTACTGTACCTTTTACGTCTCCTCTCTGCAGATTACTGTAGGCAAATAATCGTCGTTGGACATATTTGATGATCTGAATCGGAAATGGAAAGGAGAAGCAATGCCGGGAATGTTTGCCTGAATTTTTTTTAATATTTTATGTTTAGATTCTATTTCATATGTTTTGTCCTATGAAGTCTACTACATTTCTTTGTGTTTGCATCCAAGGCCTATTACCTAGATGTCGTAAATGAAACTTGTATGGAAGTTCTATATTTGATGTTCCGCCTATTTATCACAATCCATGTGCAAATGTTTTACGAAAGGGCTGAAGCATGTTAATTGAAAATAAAATTATGTTTTTTCTATTACACTATTTTTGACAGGCTACCGTTTAGTGTAATTTCACATGTAGTTAACCGGTTACAAGTCAATAATCATGACTCAAAAATCGTGAGTCAAAAAGTTCTAACTATACTTAACTTATTTGAATAATAATTTGAAGACAAGTTTTTTATAAAATTTTATTATTGAACTTTTATATGTAACTAAACGAATAAATTTATATAATATGAGTAAAAAAAAAGTTAATTATTTAAAATATATAATGTTATATGAAACAATTATAAAGAAATTAAAATAAAAAAAATTATAAAAAATTATTTCTCAATTATTTTCTTACCTATTTATATGGGTTGGTTTCAATTTTTTGTTGACAACAATCTGAGTAAATAGACTATGCACGCAAAAAATAGCTAAATATATTGTTTACTGTATTAACTATTTTCTATTATTACTTTGGTTTGGAAAGTTTTTTTCCTCAGAGCTAAAAATTTTCAAGAAAATTTTGTTAGTTACACTAGTAACTACATAACACTAAAAAAAACATGTGGCACAATAAAACTACATTTTAACACTTCTTCTCATTGAGAACAATTAATAATGGTTTTTTTTTTTCATTTTTTACCCTTTATTTTGTACAACGAGACATTTCATCTTTCATTCCCTTATACATTTCACCCACTAGAGGAGTTAGGGAGCTTGGGAAATTTTATTAATAAGATCCATAGAATGAGATATAACCCTGTCTCATTTTTTTTTATTTAACTCACCTTTTAACGAAGTTAGGGGCCCTAGGAAAAATTATTAACAAGATCCACCAATTTTTATTTTTATTATTTTTATCTTTAAAATTTTATTTATTTTTATATAATTATAATCCACTTCTTTTTTTTTTTTTTTGGTTTCCCGTCCGGTATCCGGGGCTTCGCCCTGACTATTCCGGACTCGACCAGCTGT